AGAGAATCGCTTAAGCCCAGGAGTTGGAGGTTGCTGTGAGCTGTGATGCCACAGGACTCTACCCAGGGCGACAGCTTGAGGCTCTGTCTCCAAAAAAAAGATGTGACAGGTCACAAGGAATTTGCCAGAAAAATACACTAAAGCTATTCCAGGCAGCGGTATCAAGTCAGTGTGTACAAAGTCTCAAAAACAAAGGTGGTGGTTTCACGGAACTGAAACAAGACTGGCCTGATGGTCAGGTGTAGTAGGATGTAAAGAGACATTGATGAGCATTGGACTCTAATGGGTGAATAGTTTGGAACATGAATTATAGCTCAATCAACCTGCCTCAGAAAACAAATGTGAGGCAGCAGCAATAGGGCCAGATGGCAGAGGAACTTGTAAATCATCCCTCAGAGGCAGGACTAAATCCTGATGGTGACAGCAGGGAGCCTTTGCAGGGACTGACATGAAGGGATTTGCTGCTAGGCGGGGAATGGAATGAAGGGGCAGAAGTGGGTATGGAAAGTGTTGGAGTGAGAGCCAGCTGGTAGTGAGGTTAGAGGAAAGAGGCCTTTAAATCAGCAGTTCTCAACCTGTGGGTTGCGACCCCTTTTTAACAATGAAAATACATTGCAGCATTAGGAAGGTTGAGAACCACTGCTTTAAATCATGCAGTTGATCATCTCCTGCTTTCTCACATTCACCACATGGCTTTCCCTAAGATACTTTCCCTCCCTGAGCCTCAGTCTCCCCATCTGTAAAAATGGAACTAGATGGTGCAGCCACTTTGGAAAAATCTGGCAGGCCCTCAAAAATTTAAACTTGGAGTTTTCATATAACCCAGCTATTCCACTCCTAGATAGATAGATAGAATCTCCAAGAGACATAAAGACATGTCCATGCAAAAACTTATCCACAAATAGTCATAGGGGCATTATTCATAATAGCCACAAAGTGGGAAAAACAAATGTCCATCAGCTAATAAAAGGATAAGTAGAGGGATCACCTCTATGGTTTATCTTACAAGGGTACAAGTTGAATCTTTCTAAAAGTAGAGTATAAACGTCTTAACACAATAACTAAGAAAATGACATAAAGGCTATGTTAACCAGTTTGATGAAAATATTTCAAATTGTATATGAAAATACCACACTGTACCCCATGATTGCATTAATATACACAGCTATCATTTAATAAAAAAAAAAAATAGGATAAGTAGGCCAGGTGCCATGGCTCACGCCTATGATCCTAGTACTCTAGGAGGCTGAGGCAAGTGGATTGCCTGAGCACACAGTTTTGAGACCAGACTGAGCCAGAGTGAGACCTCGTCTCTAAGAATAGCCAGGTGTTTTGGTGGGCACCTGTAGTCCCAGCTACCTGGGAAGCTAAGGCAATAGAATTGCTTGAGCCCAAGAGTTTGATGTTGCTGTGAGCTATAACACCAGGACACTCTACCAAGGGCAACAAAGTGAGACTGTCTCAAAAAAAAAAAAAAAAAAAA